TTCAGTACACCAGTCCATCTTGTTCCAGAATTGTACAAAGCAGCCCTCTTTTCTTTTCTTTGCAAAGCATTAGGGTTTTGCAGAACTTGCTCTGGGTAGTCTTACATCCTGCGTTCACCATTACTTTGCCATCAACCCTTGTTTTAATATCTTTGTAATGTTAAATGGACAGGTGCAAAGGATAGGTTTTATGTCAAGCCACAGAGGAGGACTTGGATATAGGAGGCCCCTGGCTTGTGACGTGATTGGTTCCGGGGGAAGAGTCGCAAGTTGGGGGTGTCATAACAAGGGTTGCCAGATTGGTTGAAATAAAAATACTGAACACCCCGACTCCCACCCCACTAGTCGCAAGTTGGGGGTGTCATAACAAGGGCTGCCAGATTGGTTGAAATAAAAATACCGAACACCCCGACTCCCACCCCACCTCACCCCGAAAAAATTCTGTTGAAGGAAAAAGGCTCCAAGACTTAAGAAGAAAAATAAAACCGCATTAAAACAGCATGTCTCCTTTAAGAGTGAGTGCAGGGATAGATACAGGCGAGTGGTTGAGCACTAAGACCCAGGGAAAAGCATTGCTTGCCCTAGGTCTTTAGGCCGGCAGCCATTTTGTGCTGGCAGCCTTGTGGAGCCAGGTAAGCATGGGGGCTGGGGCCGGGGTGGGAGGCCAGCTGCTGAGTGTTTGTAGGGTTGCCAGGGAAAAATTCAGAGAATACCGGACATCTCAGGTGTCTGGTATTCTCTGAATTTTTTTTACCATACAGGAGGCAAAAATACCGGACTGTTCGGGTAAATACTGGACACCTGGCAACCCTACTCGTAACTTGAACCCTCATTGATGATATTGCATGCATCTGACGAAGTGGGTCTTTTCCCACGAAAGCTTATGCTCCTACACTTCAGTTAGTCTATAAGGTGCCACAGGACTCCTCGTCGCTTTCATTGATGATAGGCACTGTGTGCTGCTGTAAATTCAGGCCAAGTATGTGAGTCGGATGTTTTTGGCCCCTTTTGCACTTGCAAAAATTGTTATAAGTGCAGGGAGTGGAAAGTCGAGGGCCTCCTGTATAGCAATGCAGCACTGAGGAAGGATGACACTGCTGTGGTGAAATGCCTGTGCATTTTTATCTGTGGGATAAAACTATAGAGAGAGGATTGGACTGAACAGCTTTGAACTCTGGGATCCTCTTAAAAAAAAAAAAAAAAACCCCTATCCGTCTCGAGACCCACCTCTTGCACGGAGCTGAGTAATTCAGGTAGGCTCCACTCCAGGAAAGCACCTGAGAGCCAGACCCATAGGCATGCGCAGCACATTACATTAGGGTGTGCACCTGAAGAATTTTTTTAAAATGTACTTTGCCCCCTAGGCAGGTTTGTATAATTTTTGGTGGTGCCCCATTAGCCACGCTCTCTGGCCCGGTAGCCATACCCCCTGATCCTCCGTTAGCCACGCCTCTGGAGGTAACATGCTCAGGGCAAGATGGACACATGACCAGAAGTAAAAGGTGTCGTATCACCCCACTCGAAGGGCTTTTCCCACCATCCTCCTACCGACAGGGATTAGTTTGGCCCCCACCAAGCCACTCGCATGCAACTATCCTGCAGTTGCATTAATTCAATGTGTGTGACATTAACTCAGGGATAGAGAGGCTGGGGGAAGTGTTCCCTCTAAGAGTTTCCTCCCATGAGAAGAATGAATTTTGTGCTGTGCACCAGTACTGAGTTCATGTGGCTTGTTTGGATGTGCCACTGTTATTAATAAATATCTTACAAACCACTACCTTTTCCTTCTGCTGCCAAATCTCCCCTTGCTTCATCAGCTCCTCTTGTGCCTGCTGCCCCCCCCAAACTCACCCTCCTCTGCTCTCCTGACTCCTGCCCTTCTCACTGTCCTCAGCCTTCCTGAGACCTGCCCCCCTCCACCAGCTCTTCTCTTCCCTCTGTGCCCACTTCTCCAGTAGCCCCTCTCTGATCATGTGAGCTACCCCTCCTCATCCCCTCTCCTAACACCTCCCTTGCCTCTCTCCTCTGGTGCTGGTCCCTCCCCTGCAGGTGTCTGCCCTTCTGCTTCACACCCAGAATCCCCTTAGCCCCACTCTGATCATGTGAGCTACCCCTCCTCATCCCCTCTCCTAACACCAACCTCTACACAACTGCTCTGCCTTTCTCCTCTGGTGCTGGTCCCTCCCCTGCAGGTGTCTGTCCTTCTGCTTCACCCCCAGAATCCCTGGCACCTGCAACTTCCCTTAGCCCTGCACCCTCCTGGTGCTCCCCCTTCCCTCACTGCCTCTTCCCCCTTTGCCCTCTTTTTCCCTGATGTCCACCCCCTCACCACCCTCTGCCCCCGTTCTCCTTCATGCCCGTGCCCTCACACGTCTTGCTCCATCCCTTCTTTCAAGCCTTCTCCCAGCACCTCCTCCTCCCCCCTTTAGCTCCCAATGCCCTTCCCTTCTCCTCTCCCAGCATCACCCTGTCTCCCCTCCCACTGACACTTCCCCTCCTGCTCTTTTCCTCATTGTCTCCACTTGGCCCCCTGGCATTTGTCTCTCCTCCACCCTGTCCCTTGGTGCCTTCCCCTTTCTTCTCCTGACCTGCCCCCTCCCCTCAGCACAAGCCCCTTCCTCTCCCACCCCTTCCTCTTATTTTTCCTCCCGTCCCCTCCATTACCTTACCTTCAGCTTCTGCCTTCCTATTTGCAGGGCTGGAGTCAGAGCCAGCCCAAGCTACAGGCTGGCCGGGCCCTAGCCTGGGGTGCCTCACTTTAAGGGGCACCATGCAGTGCTGCCAGGCCAGGCGGGGCCAAGGACGAGTCCCCGGGTGCAAAAGGGGCGCTGTGTGGTGCAGCCTGAGTGGGCCGGGCAGGAGCACCCCCAGGTGCAGAAGGGGCACTGTGCAGTGCTGCCGAGATGGGCGGGGCCAGGGCCAGGACCGTGGCCCCTGGGGCAGAAGGAGCACTGCGCATTGCTGCCAGGCTGGGGCCAGGGCTGGGGTTGGGGCTGTGGCCCCAGGGGCAGAAGGGGCACTGCACGGTGCTGCCGGGCCAAGGCTGGGGCTGGAACCCCGGCCCCAGGCGCAGAGGGACACCACGCGATGCTGCCAGAGTGGGAGGGGCCGAGGATGGGGCCGGGGCCCCGGGTGCAGAAGGGGAGCCACGCAGTGCGGCCAGGCGGGGGCTCCCCCAGCTGCAGAAAGGGTGCCATGTGGTGCTGCCGGGCTGGGCGGGGCTCGGGGTGAAAAAATGGCTTGGTCTGGCATCTTTGGTCGGGCTCCAGCTGCTTCCACCGCGCACGCGTGCTTTCTGCCCCAAAGTGCCCCGTAGATGGCCGCGGGGAAAGTGATGGACTGTGGTACCCCATCTCAAATCTCCCTCCTCCTCCAGCAGCTAGCCAGCCTGAGACATTAGGGTGTGCCTGGGCACACCCGGCGCAACCTTGTGCGCACGCCTATGGCCAGACCCTTTGGCTTCAAGTGGACTAGTAGTTTAAGATGAAGTGCATGCTGAGTCATGGCTGTAGAGTCCTTCCTGAGTCTGCCTCTTGTGGGTATTTTATAAGTCACCAATTGGTACAATGTCTGAATACCGGATCCAGAAGATTCTTGGAAAACCACAGTTATATACTAACTTAATAAGCACTCGTATTTTTCTGTTTTCCTGCTTTGCTACCCACAGGAGACTCAGGTCATTTCTTCTGTTTCACCGGGGTCTGAGGAGTAATTGACTGTTGCCTGGGATGTAACAGGACAGTATCTTCTAGTCTCAGGGAGAAGGGTTCATTCTTAACTAGAGCACTCTTCTTTCCATTCTTTATTTCTAGAATGTGACTTTCAAAAGACTGGTCCCAGTCCTCTGTGCCTCTGCCTCCCTTGGCCTCTTCCCTCCCCCCGCACTGCAGAGATGGTGCTGGGGGGAAATGGCTTTTAAGCCAACTCCCCCCAGCACCAGCTTCTGCTTCCCTCCTCCCCGCTTGCTGCCTCTAATATAGAGGCAGCCAGGGAGAGGGGAAAGCAAATAATCAAGTAGTACCTGACAAGCCTAAGTTTATTGGGTAGTTAGTTGACTACTTGAGTAGTTGCTTACATCCTCACTTTGCACTAATAGAAGGCTGATCCTCAGGATGATGAAGGTCTCTGTCTCTGTGTGTGGATTGAGCAGTAACACACAGATATGGGGTGCCTCTTTAAGAAAAGAAGTATGCATTAACTTTTTAGAACCAGGCCCAGTGAATATTAAATCTTTATGGATGTTTGTGTCCTCACTGAATGCCAACACCCCATTCTTTTGTGGGAAGGGTCTTTTTAGAAATAATGTTATGTTTTAGGATAAACCTTTTGGCAGCTGTGATAGCTAACTCTTTCTACCTTGGTATTCTTCCTATTATTAAAAAATAGATTCGTCTTTAGACATTATTTAAAATGGCTTTCTCTTTCTTTACACTCTGTGGGAGAGAAGCTCAAAACTTGGCTTTTTCCAGCAAATATAGCTCTTCCTAGGAACTTTTATTATAACTGGTTAAGAAGACACACCCCCTTACTGACAAAGCAAGGCTCCTGGTGGTAGGTATTTTTGGGGTCTACCTGTTAGTATGAAGCAGAGTTTTCTGGTTCTTCAATCTACTTTTTCTCTAGCACATAGATGCAAGCTCTTCTGTAGCAAATATTCAAGCATATTCATTATACACCTGGAAGGGATGTAGCAACAAGCCTTAAAGGCTTTATATACAGGCTGAATAATCTGAAATCGTCCAGAGCTCCAGCAAGGGGAAGACAGTAGACTGGTCCCTAGCATAGCCATTGCTGAACAGCTCTTTGTGAAATCAGAGTTCAATGATGGAAGCGGTCTCTTTGCTGTTTGTTACAATATGCAGTTTTTCTGTTCTTTATCCACTGCAGCCAGCCAAGTGGTATTTTTCCAAGCTGGTATTAGTAGTTTCCATTTTGTGCACACTGATAAAATTGTTTTCTCTTTAAGAAGAATCCCCCCCCCCCCCCCCCAAGGAGAACAAAGACACCTGAAGCAAGAAGTTTAAGGCCTTGGAAGTAAGTATCAGGTTCATAATTGACTCTTTTACAGAAACATGTAGGATCATGACTAATTGAATAACCAAATCCCTTCCGTTTGCGCAAAACTCTGCCCGTCTTCTTCCTTGTTTGAGTATAGAAAAGGTATTGGCTGTGCCAGAGCAAAATGTTCTCCCTTGGTGAGCTTTGTAAATAGAAATTATACCAACTTAAATTCTGTAGGCACAAAGTCTTGTGTGTGTACCTAGGTGCCATCTGTTTTTTCTATCATATATATACCTGCATATGTCTCAGGAAGTCCTAAAAACTTCTAACAATTAACATAAGGGCTCTTTCTACATTTCAAAGACTGAAGCGCTACAGTGGGAACATGGGGTAGCAGGGATTGCTTGATTCCCCATGCTCCCTGTGACACTCTCAACCCCCTTTGCTGCCTCTATGAGAGCAGTCCCAGCTTGGAGTCCTGGCTCACATGAATGCTGTGCCTCTTACTTCCTGCATTTAAAATGCAGGCTCTTACTACATTTAAAATGCAGAGCTGCAGCATGGGTGATTCCCAGAGCTACACTAATCGTATAGTTGATACAAATTGTGTCGACTATAAATTAGCTCAGTAACCGCAATTTAACATCCTTAGTTTACGTATATGCTTTGGTTTGTTTGTAGGCTCTCACAGAAGGTCATTCATATTTGGGAGAAATAAAAAACACTTCATTTAAAACTATGTAAAGTCTTAGAATCAGCTCCAGGAAGGTGGGTGGTGGGCCAAAGGCAGGATTTTATCAGGGGTGCATGATCTATAACATTTTAGAATCATGTGATTCCACTATGTCTTGTGGCTCTCCAGTTATTAAATACATGCTGTGTATCTGTAGATATGTTTTACATATTTATATTCATAGTGGCCTCAAGGGACGCAGATCAGGTTTGAGGATCCATTGTGCTTGGATGTTATACAATCATGAAAGTAGTCATTAAAATATTTGACAAAAACATGGATCATTTTAGACTTAAAGATACTTTTTCTAACTGCTGAACATATAGCTATGAAGGCTTGGAAAAAATCCCAAACATGCTTTCTTAAACAGTTGCCCGGACTTTGAGAAATTAATGTATTTGTTTCATCTAAATGCTTAGACTAGTTTATAAAGCCAGGAGTGCCACTTTTAGACTTTGCCTTCTAACTTCAGACACTTCATTTGTATACATGCAGACAGCACTAGCTTACAACTGAAAAGAACTTTCAGTAGATCTCTTCCATGATATGTTTGGGCTTGATTGTTCCTTCTCCATGGGAGGAGCCAAAAGGATGCTTTTTCCTTATGGAGTTTTCTTCAAATGGCTCAATTGGAGAAGTTTGTTGGGTTGCTTAGTTCTGTGTGTCTCTCAACACCTACGTTTGGTAGCCCTATCAGTGCCTTCAGTAGGACTGCAACTTTTCCTCCAGGCCATTGGAGTAAGAATTGCCAACTGTAAATCTGACTTCCTCTGCTCATTGTTGGGGTCTGCTCTGCCAGTTTGGATTAAGCTGACTTGTCATCCTAGTTGTGCATACATTTACACCAGAATTTGTCTCCTGCCAATGGAAGAACTTTGTTACAGCAACACAATAATATGATGTAACCACTTTTGTTGGATAGAGCTAAGGGAAAACCACATGAAAAATAAAGGACAGTACTTTATTTTCAACAATATTTCAGAGAAATATCACTTCCTTTAGCACGTTGTGGATTCCTTCCCTCTCTCCTCCCGCATTCATTTCTATTGCTCTCAAGCTATATAATTATCTCAAGCTTCAATTTAAGATGTAAAATAGTGCTTATTAGTTGTAATACATTTCAGTACATCTGTTTTTAAAATCTATTTGTGGAACGCTGTGCATGTGCAACTGAAGTGAACTTTAATTTGAAACTCAACATTAACAGCATCAATATTTAAACCAGTCTGGACAGCAACTAATATTTGTCCAGACTGGTTTAATAATAAGTTTTGAAAAATTGGAGTGAGGAAGAACTGGCTACTGTGGTTTTTAACCTCCCCCCCCCCCCTTGCCTTGCACAGAATACTTTGAACCTTCTTTTCAGTAAAACATCTTTGTGCCAATATGTGGCAAGCATTTGCTTTTTCCTTAATGAACTTTTCCCCTTCCAGAAGCTTGCTCAATTCTTCCTGGCACATGCTTACCTGTGTTACAAGTTCAAAAACAAAGGCCTGCAGGGGGAGAAACTACTGAATACTTACGTTTATATCAGGTAAAGCCTTTAACCAGAAGTCCTATCCATAATTTTTATTGCAGATGTACAATTCACTGAAGTCTTAGGACAGCACAAAAGGTGAATCTTTAGCTTGTTAAAGCTCAGTTTTTTCAGGCTGAAATCTGCACTGAAAACCCAGTTTAATCAACAGTTACATTGCTTAATGCTGCTCTGCAAATATTTGATTCAGCTGAGCCTTAAATTACTTATGTAACAAATCTATGCAATAAGGGAGTCACGCAATGGGATGGTCACTCTACCAATACCACCACCTCCTGCAGTATCTTCAGCCTAATACAAAGGGCTTTGTGGTGTGATATTTTAACACCTCCCCCCCCCATGCCCTGAAGCCCAGTAGAAATAATCCACTTTGATCATGGTCTCTTTAATTAAATCCATGCACAGGAACATGGCAAACTGGGAGGCTTTCACTTCTAGCTATACTCCTATAGGCCTACAATGAGTTTCTGAGAAATTAAGTGGGAGAGTGTTAATCTTGGGTATAGTATCAGCAGCAGACTTGGCAATCTTAGACTAAAGTCTAACATACGATAAATGCAGCAGAATATGGATACAATTATCTGATGAGCCCTTTGGGGAAGGGGTTGTTGTAGGATCTGTGAGGTATTTGTCTAGCATAATTTGTTTCCATATTTTAAAAGGGCCAAATTCTGCCCTCTCTTGAAATCAGCGGGACTACCTTCATAGTGTGTCAAGATGTAATTTGCCCTGAAAGCCAATTAGAATATCTTTCTTGTGACTGAAAGAATGTTTGTGCATGGAAATTTTATTTTCAGGATGTGTGCCATTTGCCTGCACTTCAGACAGATTCTTTCATCTGAGGGGTAGAATGAGCAGGCAGGATAAGGGTGAAATTGAGAGGACAGAGCCAAGTCTATTGTAGCCAGCTGTTGTCCAACCTTTCCCACACTGCTCTGCCAGTAAGGTCCTGATTGAGGCATATCACCTTCTCTCCCAAGGCCAGAACCTCTGCAGGGCAGAAACACACTGGCTAAACATTTCTGAGTGACTGACTAATAGATTTTGGATGGCCAATTTGAGACCTTAAAAGGGAACTGTTTTAGAAAGTGGATATCACCACTTCCCAAAAAACCTCAAGCTCTTTTTAGTTAAGATAGGCACGCAAAAATAACAAGTCACTTCTCAGTCTTGGCCAGTCACCGATGTGTGAGTGAATTTATCTGGGTTTTGAGCGTGGCTCTATAGAAGTCTGCAGAAGAAAATACCACATGAAGCTTTTCCAACATTTTTTGCTGCCAGTATTCACCCATTGCAGATGGCTAATGCATTATGGAAGCAGCTAATAAAGCAGCTAATAAAGTTAAGACAAATGAAGATCATAACAGCTCAAATCATTTGCTTTCCATGCTGAATGAAACCCTAGTACAGATGCACACCTTGGAATGAAATACAGGACTATGTAGTACTTTAAAGACTAACAAGATGGTTTATTAGATGATGAGCTTTCATGGGCCAGACCCACTTCCTCAGATCAAATAGTGGAAGAAAATAGTCACAACCATATATACCAAAGGATACAATTAAAAAAAAGTGAACACATATGAAAAGGACAAATCACATTTCAGAACGGGGTTGTCGGGGAGGGGGTGGGAAGGAAGGTAAATGTCTGTGAGCTAATGGTATTAGAGGTGATAATTGGGGAAGCTATCTTTGTAATGGGTAAGATAGTTGGTGTCTTCGTTGAGACCGACAGGTAGGGTGTCGAATTTTAGCATGAATGACTGTTCAGAGGATTCCCTTTCAAGTGCAGATTTAAAAGGCTTCTGGAGCAGGATGCAGGTAATTAAGTCGTTGAGACAGTGTCCTTTACAAAGATAGCTTCCCCAATTATCACCTCTAATACCATTAGCTCACAGACATTTACCTTCCTTCCCACCCCCTCCCCGACAACCCCGTTCTGAAATGTGATTTGTCCTTTCATATGTGTTCACTTTTTTTTTAATTGTATCCTTTGGTATATATGGTTGTGACTATTTTCTTCCACTATTTGATCTGAGGAAGTGGGTCTGGCCCACGAAAGCTCATCATCTAATAAACCATCTTGTTAGTCTTTAAAGTGCAGCATAGTCCTGTATTTTGTTTCAGCTACCCCAGACTAACACGGCTACATTTCTATCACCTTGGTATGCACTGTCAAATGTTGTCCTTCTAGATTTAGTCTGGACAGAGATTTGGGCAAGGGTCTAAAGGGAAATAATGGGGATAAAATGAAGTAAGTACTGTAATCCAAATTAGGTTTTGGTTGGTGTTCAACTTCAAGGCCGAATCAGGGGAAGGGTTTAGATTCTCTGGCTCCAAAGTTTCACGAGGTTAGCTTCTGTTGTGACACAGCTCCCAACGGCAGGAGTCTATCACAAGAATGGCTAAAGCCATTCTGATATGGGGCCAGGAATGTAGCAAGGAGGAAAATCTGGATCTGGCAATTGGGATCTGAGATTCTGTTTATCCTCCAGAAAATTAGAGGTTTGAGGGTCTGGTTTCAGCATCTTTAGAAAATGTAACTTCTAGAACAAAAGGAAATCCTGTCATGTCTATCAAATGTGGTGGGTTTATAATCCTTTTAAAATCTATATTCAAACAATGAGGTTTCTTATGTTCCCTACCATGAGAAGGCATTTGAAAAGGACGCCGCTTTTGGGGGAAGGAGGGAGCTGTAGCTGTGTCACTGGGGGTGTTGTAGACTCAACTTAAAATTTTAACCACCTGCGTGGAATTGACTCCACACTCCTCATGGACGTTAGTGACTCTCACAAGAAATCTAGTCAGTGATAAGCCTTCATATAATTGTCTGTGACCCCCTGCTGCGGTGTCCTGTGGAGCTGTGTGTGTTGGAAACAATTCAGGATCCCGGCTTTATTTTTCTTTGTGGATTTTGTTAGCGTTTCTCTCCACCTCAGGGTTAGTTTCTCTCATTGCCTTGCTACAGAGAGGGTGTGTGCCAATTCCCTTTCCATCCCCGGAGGCAGAGTTATCCGGGTTGCCAGGCCAGTTATACTGTGACCACTCACACACTTTCACCTGTAATGTGAGGATCTCTCCTGCTTTGTAGTGAAACAAACCGTTTCTTTAACATGACCATCCCCATTTGCCCTGCCCCGCCCCCTCGCTTCACCACTGCTCACAGCACAGCCATGTTATCTGGCTGGGAGGGTAAATGCAGCTCCTCCTAAAGTGGATCTGCACTGCTGTCTGATCATCCAACAGGTTATACATCTGCCAGCTATCTGTTTGGGATGGGGAGATTCTAGGGGGAGACGGTCATGGTGGGTTGTTTGTGTATGGTTTTCTTAGGATGGGAGGGAGAGGGAGTCTTCCTGACAGTTACACTACTTGATCAGTCTCCTGACCTTTGGAGACTGCCTGCTATAAACTGTGAGATCTTCTAATTCAGGGCTCTTAAACATCATTGTACTGTGACCCTCGTCTGACAAAAATTACTACGCTACCCCCAAGCTGGCAGGGGAGGCCTGTAACCTTAATCTCTCCCCTCCCCCCCCCAACCCCTGGGCTGAAACCCAAAGGTTCTGGTTTTGGCTCTGGGTGATGAAGCTCAAGCTTTAGTCCTGAGTCTCTGCAAGTTTAATACCAGCCCTGGTGACCCCTGATTTATTTGTGTATGGGGTTTGGACCAACAGTTTGAGAATTGCTGTTCTAATACATACCAGCCTGTCTTCACAGCCTATATGGCCACAAGTGTGGCCACTCATTGCTACACCAAAATCAGGCCCAACTTCCCATTTCAGGTCTAAGCTCTTCTTGGCTTGAATCATATAATCTCAATGGGGGCAGCTGTGTCAGCAGGAGAAGCTCTCTTGTTGACTTAGCATGGTGCACCCTGCCCCTTATGCCGGCACAACTTTTATCTTACCTATTTTAAAAATCTTTGATTCATAAGACAGAACCTTTATTTTCTATCATTTTTTGCTGTTCTCTCAACTTCTTCCTGTTAATTAATAAATTTCTGATAGGGAAATGTCCAGAAATTTTAACACAATATTCCAAGTGTGCTCACAAGAGTGGCACATAGAGAAATGGTATGTACTGCTCTGTTATGCTGTATCTTTACTGCTTAAAAGTGCAATGGCTTTTTTTGCTTATACATCACATTGCAGACTCACGTAATTGCTGTCCAATGTTATTTCTAGTTCACTTTTGGCATTACTGCTTTCCAGATTTCTTCCTCCCATGGAATATCTGTGCTCCTGATTATATGACTGCAGTGCCAGGTGGAGCAGGGAGAACCTTTGTGTTGCTCAGGAAGGTGTTTTTTCCACACTCCTGAGATAAGTTTTGCCTACATGAGTGGTAATATAGACGTGGCCTGAGGTTCGCTTATTTGCCCAACCCTCCATAGAGATTTGCCCAACCCTCCATAGCAACTGAGCCATTGTTAGATCTCAGAAGTTCTTAGTCTAAACATGCAGCTGGAGCTGCTAGCCATGGGGTCTCACAGGGGCTTGATATCAGGACACTGTGGAGCTGAGCCCTTCCACTGATGGGCTGAAGAGATGAGGGAAGCTGGAGATTCCAGAAGGCTTCAGCCTGTGTGTCACATAGTGCAGGCAAGACAGTAACAGGTGTCACCCTACAGTTCTCTTATCATGACACAGTATTGGTTTAAAGTAGGCTGCTGCACCTGTAAAGTCCCCTGCACGTAGTCCTTTCACTTCTTGGAGGGTGCTGAGTGGGTCTTGAATAATGGCAGGATCTTCTCTTGTCAAAGGATATGATGCCTTCAGTTCCTCCTGAAGCAGAGATGGACACCAGTTCCTGCCCTCGCTTGTCTGCCAACTGCCTGCTGAATGGAGGGCTGGAGAGGGAGCCTGGAAGTGTCAATGAGGAGAGAAAGTGGATCCGACCTGATACCCCTAGCAAATGTACCTGGGAGTTGGGGAAACCCCTCTCTGAATCCCCTCATTATCACACCTCTTGGTAAGTGATACCTTTTTTTTTCCCTTGTTGCCTTTCAGTGCTAACCAAGATCTTGTCCCTTCACAGGGCTAACTAAAGGTATGGATTTTTGTAACTGTATTAGTTAAATTGGCCTGATTCTGCATTTGAACACTTTTGTATCTGATGCCTATAAATTACAGGCACAAGCTCAACTGATATGTTTAAACTGATCATATGTTATAGAAGAATCAAATTCTTACTAACTTTAATGGGGTCAAGATGTCATCCTTTGTGTTGGCCTTAAAAAAGACCGTTTTCTTTGCTTTCCCATTTTTACCCGTTCACTTTCATCTTCCCTAAATGGTGCTAGTTAAACATACCCAAAAAATGTAGGCAAGAAGTGACTAAATTACCCAGGAATTTGGTCACACTTACCTATAATTGTGGCATTAATCTGTGCTCAGCATTTCATAGCTTCTTACAGCCTTACACACGTGTGTGGGAGGGGCAAGGAGCCCGAGCCTCTGAGTGGCCCAGGGGACTAGCGTGGGGGGGCCTTGCACTCAATAGCAACAGCAAGGGAAACTGGAGCTGTGTCCCTAGCTCACTCTGCTTCCCTGGCTCCTGGCTACGTCAATCAGGGGAGAGTGCTGGACCACCCCCATGTTCACCTGCATGAAGCAGTGTGGTGTGATCCGGGGAGCAGAGCAGGCTAGGGCCATGTTGCTCTACTTCTCCCTGCCACTGCCAGTGAATTGGGGGAGGGGGAGAGGGGGTTGAATGCTGCTGCCAGTGTCAAACCCATGGCCACGGTAGTCCCCTGTGCTGCATTGCTTGGGGAGGGGGCAGAGTGGGAGGATGGCACTCAAGGACCGAGCAGAGGCTGAGCAGAGCCTGGGGCAATACAAAGGCAGAGGGTCTGGAGCAGAGGGGAAGTTGTCCAGGCCTCCCCCAGCCTAGCAGTGGCATGGGGAGGAGTCCTGCGGAAGGAGTGGTCACGTGGATGGTGGCTCTCCCTGTGACTCCTCACCAGTTGCCCCTAAAAATTTTCAAATAGCAGTGTGGACCCCTTTGGAAATCTTATACATAGTGTGTGGACCCTAGATTGGAAAAATCACTGTTCTGTGGTAATAACTATCTTTTGTGGACCCCTTATAGACATAGTTTGCAGACAGCCAGGGTCCACAGATCACAGGCTGAAAATCAGTGATCTAGTCCAACTCTTTCCAGTCTGCTTTTTTTTTTTTGACAAACCATGGTTTGGAGTGGTCATGGCATTGATGGAGTGTATGTATGCATGCTCAGCAGAGATGACTGGAGCATTCATTTTCCCTGGTAGGACTGACATTTATGCTAAACTCCTTCAGATAGTAAGAATCTAGCAGGCTATGGATTGTAGCTTGGTAGCTCTTGCCTTTGACCTAGGGATCATTCTTTATCTTCACCACCACCTCCCGCATATCTTTCTCCAGTGAAAATGCTTTTTTTATTGTAGTCTCTTATCTGCTGGAAGGAGAAAACATCTGAAATCTTTAAAAAATTCCTTTCCTTCTCCAAACCCCTAAATGACTAATTTGAGATGCAGAGAACTCCTTTTCATCTTTTTCCTTAAAATTAACAGTTCCCATTCCACGCTTTTCCAATGGCTCTTCTAAACAAAGAACATACCTTTCCCATTAGCCTTTTTCTTAAAGAAGCTGACATGAAGCTTCATGACCTAGAGTTAACTCATGTTAAGTAACCTGTTAAGCAGTTACCCTGAGTAGGTGAATAATTAAATTAAATCAAGTGGTTGGTAACGACTGCAATAAATTACAGGTTGGACCTCTCTGGTCCAGCACCCTCAGGACCTGACTGGTTCTGAATGAGGGAATTTGCTGGACCAGGAGAGGTCAATTCTGGCCCCACCTGTTCAGCTCCACTTCTGGTCCCAGTTACCGGCCACTGCCCAGTCTACCAAGGCTGCCAGCCCCTCCTGTTCCCCCTGTTGCCCAGCTCCTGGCTGACACCACCTCTCCTCTTTGCTGCCCGACTCCTGGCCACCAGAGCTCTCAGCTCGCTCTGGTTTCCGGAACAGAGTGTCCCCGTTTTTAGAGGTTCAACCTGTATGTGATGCAAATACATATACTTTGTGCTATCTGCACCATTTCATTGATGTCTGATTACTCCAGAAGTTTTTAGATCAGAGTTGTGCTGTTCTCTAAATGCCTTTCAATTGTGAACTTCTAAATGTTTAAACGTGACATCAAAATCAATCATGTGACCTTCCAGTGTCACAGCAAGAAATAACTGTCTGTGCATGTGTGTGTATTAGGTCAAAGTCTCCAAAAATCCTGCCAAACATTCTGAAGAAAATTGGTGATACTCCGATGGTGCAAATCAACAGAATTGGAAAGTTGTTTGGTCTTAAGTGTGATCTCTGTGAGTACCTGCTACAGTTTAGTTAAAGATATTTATCTTCAGGAATCGGAATTACCTTATTTAACTGTGCTCACAAGAACTGATTGTGAAATGCTTTTTATTCCCATGGAAAAACTGGCAAAAATGAAAGGTTTTTTTCCCCCCTCTGTTTCAGTTGCCCCTCCAAAAAAACCCATCTTTAGTTTTTTGGGTTTCTGTGTTTTCACTACCTCTACATCTCCTTTCCCCAGCGCTCATGCAGGTAAACAAAAAGCAAACCACAGATCAAAAATAGACATTTTATAATGAAACTTCCCTTTTAGAGTTAAAAGAACAAACAAACTTCTAGGAAAGATTTAAAAGAACAATCTACAGTCTGTAGTTTGGCAACATAGTGACTGCTGCATGGTAATAATGTAAAAGTACATGGAGGATATCATCACAAAAGATAAACATGTTGTTTACTGTTGTTCAAAGGGCTGAAACGTGGGGAAATGAGATCAAATTAAAGGAGGACTTCTTAGCATTTAGATCCAGTTCCTCCACAGTGGAAAATGCAGTGGTAAACAATCTTTAAAGGGCAAGGGAATGGTCTTTTTTTTTTTTTTAAAAGTCCCGTCTAATGTTGGGTAGAGCACCCTAATCCTGTCCCCTCTCTTCCCCCTCTCCTGATCTGAGCTATGCATGAGGTTTTCATCCTCTCTGATCCTCCATCTCCAAGTGACAAGTAAAGAAGAGAGGACAAAAGGAGAGACCCACTGGTTAAGATGAAACTGACACACTGAGGCTTCTTGTTCTTGTGTTCAGCTGTGAAATGTGCCAAGAACTTGGCCAAAGACCCGAGTGATACAGACTTCTGCATTGTATCATGGGTTGCCTCTCCCTTTGTCTTGTGGGGTATGTTTAACTGGGCAGAAATGATCTTTGCTAAAGTGTGCTTGGATCAAAGTAAAGACTTGGAATTCCTCTGGTGAATGCTGTAGTGCAGGGGTCTCAAACTCGTGGCCCACAGGCCATCTATGGCCCTAACATTTGTCCTGTCAGGCCCAGGAGTCCCTGTGGCCTGGGAGAGGAGTCCATTGATGGCCTGCAGGCCATGAGTTTGAGACGCCTACTCTAGTGCTGCTTAAAAATATATATATATATGCGCGCGTGCACATTTGCATGACTATTCTGTTTTCAGTGGCAAAGTGCGAGTACTTTAATGCTGGGGGGAGCGTAAAGGATCGAATCAGCCTGAGGATGGTAGAGGATGCAGAAAGAGCTGGGATTTTGAAACCTGGGGACACGATCATTGAGCCAACGTCAGGAAACACAGGTAGGAATTTCTAGGTCACAGTGAGATAGCTAAGCAACTGGGGGGACATGTTCCACAGAAACCTTTAGACCAAATTGGAGAGGGAGTCAGAGACCAGAGAAGTTTTCTCATTCAAAAGAGAAAATTCATCCTTACGTGACAGAGAGAACCTCTCAGCAGTTATGTTTCCAGCTCAGTGTCTGAAGAAGGACTATATGATGCTTGCTGCTGCTCAGAGTGGGTGGGAAGAAGTGTTAGTTACAGGGTTTATTGCTTATTTTTATGTATACAGGAATTAGTGTCTGACACCTCACAATTATTAGTGGATTTCTTTATCCTCACTGTATCCAGGCCAGGTAGGGAAATATTCTCCTTGATGTCCGCAGAGATTGGAAGTGATTGCCCCAAGGTCACAAGTCTGAGGCTGAGCTGGAAATCAGACTGAGGTTTTCTAAATATCAAAACAGTGCTCTGTCTACTACATCATCTTTCCTGCCCCTTACTCTATAGGACTAGATCAGTGGTCCAGCATCCTGTCTCAGACAGTAGCTGATGCTGGATGCTTCAGAGGAAGGCATAATCTCCAGGTAGTTGCACTTGTGGAAAGCCACATGAGTCCAAGACACGCAGCAGTTCTTTGGAGGTGTCCCATCTAAGTGCTGGCGCAGCTCGGCCCTGCGTAGCTTGCAAGAGCTGTTGATAGCTCAGCGCAAGTTAATTTTGTACAGCTCTGCACCATGAGCAGGAGCAAGGTCTGGAAAGGAAGAAGACAAGTAGCCTAAAAGTTAGAGCCTGTGATACTCCCATGACAGCCTCTTAGGAAACACTGGGTAACTGTCTACAATACAGCTGTTTTCAGCACCCACTCTTTAAAGGCCGGAACGGCAGATGGAATCCCACTTTTGAAACCTAGAAGTTTGGGTCTCTATTTTTTTATGCTTCTGACTCCTTACTAATGTTTCCACTAATCTTTCTATCCATGTGCAGAATAAATTTTATGTGCACAGAGATGTGTGAATGCGCACCACCAGTAAAAACAAAAAAACCTTTCTGTATGTGCTCTGCTAATCAGCTGGCCAGCATTTGAATCTTTCTTGAGTGGCTGCCCAAGTGCAAAGCTTACAGGGAACACTGCTCTTCACATATGTTATCACCGCTGGCTGTATCTGACACGGTATTCTATGACACCAAACAGGTCTAGGAGTCATAATCAGAATGTCCCTCTTGCTATGGGGTAGAACGGCAAAGAGCAAGAGGAATGTGCAGGGTAAAGGACGTCTCCCTGTGAAGACTGTCTTGTTTCACTGGAAATGAATAAAGAAAGGAGGCAAGGGCCAGAAGCTGTGATGCTCTCCAGGGGTACCCAGGTTTGTGAGGCACACAAGCACCACCTGCCCTTAGAGAGTCTTGCCAGTGCCTGTTACAGATCAGCTCCCTGACACTAACAACTTGTGGCAGCAAAAGCACTGCCTTCCAGGCCTCTGCAGGCCTTCTGACTGGACTGATAGCCACAGGCATGCACTATCTTCTGAGCCCTCTCCGAGCATTCCCTGTAGTATCCCGCCCCTTGTGCCCTGAACACTTGCAGAAATACCAGGTCTTTTGTTCCCAAAGGAAGCATATACACCAGCTTGTAAAAGTCAACTGGCTACCAGCGCTTTGTTTAACACCGTAGCACTGAGTCATAGTGAAAACAAGAATAAGTTTATTATGACAGTCCCAGAGATTCAGGTGATAATCTGGAAATGAATGGCTAACTATAACCCAAAATTGTAACTCACTTTCTAGAGGCTAAACTTACCTAACAACTTAACCTCCCATCTACAGAAACTTTCCTCACCCAAGATCCTCTGTAGCATTTTCAGTCAAACCTGGTTGAAACTCCCTTTTTCATGAAACAAAAGCGCTGTCCTCTTACTTCCTCAGTAAAGAATGTCCCAGCCCTTCTCTTCCCAATATACCCAAGTATTGTTCCACTCCTTCAGATAGGGTTCTCTGATAACCCTCCTGCATTTCTTTTTCTTCTTTACAAACCTTCCTTTACATTCAGTTCTGATTAATGGTAGGGAAACTGTCATGGAAAAGACTACACTAAATTTGTGAGACTAGACAGGTGGAGAGACTTCTCTCTGACAGAGTCAGCTTTTCATCAGTCTTGACACAGACTTAAAGAATTTTTCAGTATACATATGAACAGGGCTTGACAAATTCTGGAAAATCCTACTCGCCAGACAAAAAAAAGGACTCGCCCCCAAAAAGTGTTGTTTTTTTATAGCATAAATTCCTAATAAGAATAAGAACAGTAATTACTAATATGTTCTTAATAAATATCACCCAAGTTATTAATATCTTATAAATATCTACCTTTTCCCTCTGCTGCCATGTCTCCTCCCCTTCCTCCATCAGCTCCCCTGGTGCCTGCTGTCCCCCAACCCCTCACTCTACTCTGCTGTCCTGACTCCTGCCCTTCTCACTGCCCTCAGCCCTCCTGAGACCTGCCCCCCTCCACCAGCCCTTCTCTCCCCTGTGCCCACTCCTCCAATAGCCCCACTCTGATCATGTGAGCTACCCCTCCTCATCCCCTCTCCTAACACCTCCCTCTACACACCTGCCCTGCCTCTCTCCTCTGGTGCTGGTTCATCCCTTGCAGGTGCGCAGGTGTCTGCCCTTCTGCTTCACCCCCAGAATCCCCTGGCACCTGCACCCTCCTGGTGCCTCCCCCTTCCCTCACTGCCCCCTTTGCCTTCTTTTTTCCCTGATACCCACCCCCTCACCACCCTCATGCCCCTGTGCCCTCATAGATGCCTTGCTCCCTCCCCGGCTTTCTCATGCCCACCCCTTCTTTCAAGCCTTCTCCCAGCACCTCCCCCTCCCCCTCCCTCTCTAGCCTCCAGTGCCCTTACCCTCTCCTCTCCCAGCATCACCCTGTCCCCCCTCCCACTGACACCTCCCCTTCTGCCCTTTTCCTCATTGTCTGCACTTGGCCCCCTGGCATTTGTGTCTCCTGCACCCCTATCCCTTGGTGCCTTCCCCTTTCTTTTTCTTCTTCTCCTGACCTCCTCCCCTCAGCACAGGCCCCTTCCCCATATTTTTCCTCTCCTCTCCTCTCCCCACAGCCCAGCCCAGCCCCTTCCCCTCTAGGTTTTTTGCTGCCCCAAGCAAAACATTTCCGCCCCTTTTTTTTGTTTTTTTACACATTTGCATTTTGCAATGTTTTTGTTTGTTTGTTTGTCTTTTTTTCATTTTTGTCCCAGCATTTTAACCCTATAAATAGTATTTTCATTCATTTTTTTCCATAAAGGCATAGACACTTCAAGTGTCCCCTTTCACTCGCTGCTGGGTCACAGCAGCCTTTTCCCTGGCCTGTCCAGCCCCTCCCTGTGGGCAAGCACCTCTCACTCCCGACCCACAGGGGAAACAGGGTGCAGGGACAGCACGGAGCCAGAGGGGTGCAGGGAACAGTGGGGGAGAGGGGACAGGGATGGTGCGGGGAACAGGAGGCACAGAGCCAGAGGGACGGAGTGTGCAGTGTGGTGGAGGCATGGGATGTGGGGAACAGGAGGGGCAGAGGGATCGGGGTCTAGGAGCAGTGCAGGGAACGGGCAGCACAGAGCGGGGGGCCAGAGATCAGGGGGAGCAGAGTGCGGGGTGCAAGGGCAGCACAGAGCCAGAGGGAGAGCAGGGGATCCAGGGTGGAGGGGCGGCGTAGGGAATGGACGGCAGGAGCCAGATGGGGCGTGGGGCGGGCACAGTGAGCCGGGTGGTCGGCCGGGAGCGGTCTCTCGCCGGCGAGGGGGCTGGGGCCGTGGCAGGACTGGAGCCGGTGGGGTGGGGTGGGGGCCTGGCTGCGCCATAGCCAGCTGCTGGGGACACTCGGACAGAGCCGAGCTGCCGCAGCCCTTTAAAATAATCTGCCGGCACCCTGCCTCCTCGCGCCGCAGCTGCACACGAGCAGCCACAGTTCCCCCTCCCTGGCAGCGCTTGGTTCCTCCGCCCGGCTGGCGGATTGGATGGGGCCGTGCTGCCCGTAGTGCAGGCTTCGGCCAGCCTGTTACGATGGCCCACTGGGCCAGCCCACCCCTGCACTCACCAGTTGGCAAATTCTACTCGCCGTGGGCGAGTGTATTTGTCGAGCCCTGCATATGAAACCCCTTACATAGTATCTGTGCATGTTACACAGTGACTGTGATCAGTGCGACTCTAACTTTCATTTGAGACCTTACATTGACGTTATTTGGTGAACCAAAATGTACATCCCAGAATCAGGAGATTCCTGTAGCCCCTTGGTGCTCCATTTCTGTTGGCATCATAGGGTTCTTGAGTCACAGTAGCATAGAGAATTGCCAGTCACTCTTGGCCTCTGCCCATAGCTACTAAGCTAACTTCTCTATGAAGAGACTAGAATTTGTTCTCTTTCCTGCACCTCACTTCCCCTGCAGCTGACTTCCTAGTTTTACATTTACCACACTTTGATATTAATCTCTTGAAGTGTAAGGTAGTTAAGTTTGGGTTTTAGAAATGTCTTCCTGATTATTGTCAGTGTCCGTAAGGTCATCACTTTGATATTAATCTCTTGAAGTGTAGGGTAGTTAAGTTTGGGCTTTAGAAATGTCTTCCTGATTATTGCCAGTGTCCGTAAGGTCATTTTACCTCAATGTATAGGCTGTGTCTACATTGGCACCCCTTTCCGGAAAAGGGATGCTAATGAGACCAGTCAGAATTGCAAATGCCGCGGGGGATTTAAATATCCCCCGCGGCATTTGCATGAACATGGCTGCCGCTTTTTTCTGGCTCGGGGTTTTGCTGAAGAAAAGCACCAGTCTAGATGGGATCTTGAGGAAAATAAGCCCTTTTCTGGAAGATCCTTTATTCCTACTTTCTAGGAACTTCAAAGTAGGGACTTAAATCTGGGTCTGCCACATCCCGAGCAAGAGAGCCTGATGGTTAGATCATTCTGGCATATATTAATCTATATGAAGTGGAACAGCTCTGACAGGAGAGAGTATGGTGTCTTTCCCTGGTGAGTTCTGTATCCCCTGGGCATTTGGCTACTGTGAGGTGGCTCTTTTTAATGGAGTGGGAATGGGGAGTTCAGAAGGGCACAGTTCTGCCAGGGATCAAAAACAGATTCCAATACCTTGATATGAGACATGAAATAGAATTCTAACTCTCTAGCCAGCCCGAGCCTCGTACATTGGAAAGAGATCAGAAGAGAGGTACAGGAAATGAGTCAAGGACTGGAAAACATGCCTTAAACTGAGAGAGAGAGTTTAACAGGTTGAGCTTCTTTTATCCAAGAGGTTGAGAGATGACTTGAGCCAAGTCTACAAGTACCTACATGGAAAAAAGATTTATGAACAGCACTTCGGTCAAGCAGATCAAAGCATAACAAAGTCCACTGGTTGAAAGCTGAGGCTAGACAAATTCAGCCTAGCAAAAAGGGCAAATAGAATTACCCTCAGAGTTATGGGCTTGATGCAGAAATTATTGTGGGAGGTTCTACAGCCTGTGCTATGCTGGAGATCGCACTAGATTATATTAATGGTCCCTTCTGGCTTTAATCGATGAATTACAATCCATCAGTCACAAAGTACATCTGTAACGAGGGTGAAGGGGATGCAGAGGAAGAACTAAGCTGGGAAACTCAGCAACGTGAACTTTCAGATTTCCCAGGTTTTGTTCATGTTATTGATGGTTCTGGTCTGGGATTGAGCCAGCTGATACTTTTAAAGCAGACAGTCCTGCTCTCCAACTATCCTGGAGAGAGCGGCCAACTGGACCTTTTAGTCTCTGCAGTCATGCCCATGCAGGCCTGGAGAGTGCAGCTCTTAGAACTGTAACATTCTGAAGCTAGCATTGGGGTTTTGTTTCTTTTGCAACATACTCTGTATTTCCCCACTTCCAGGAATTGGGCTGGCCCTGGCTGCTGCAGTGAAAGGCTACCGCTGTATCATTGTGATGCCGGAGAAAATGAGCATGGAGAAGGTCAGAACTACTTGTATTTCAAATAATTAAAAATAAATGTCTGAATATGTTTAGATCCTGATGAGAGGAGGATGCCATCTTTTTGGCTGTGAAATTGAATACCAGGGCATTGCAAGCCAGTTTACCATGTGTTGGATATTTTTAAATTGGTCTGAGTATGTGTAAACTTCTTGAGGTGGGAAAAGGGCAGAGGGTGGCTGGCTGTAGAGTGGTAAGCCCAGACAGACGGTGCTACATTGCAGCGTATTGCTTCAGGTTACACAGTGGGAAGTCTTTGCAAATGGCTAAGAACAACACTGGTCTTTCTTCAGCTTACGGAAATTCAGCTTGGTTTTAAATGTTATCTGAAAAAACAGCTGCTCCAGCAGTAGAGTGCCCTCTGGTATTCTGCTGACTCATAGGCAAAGTTCTGACGTGACAGGAAAAGTACTATGTGCTGAATTGCCCGCATCACATCCAGCAGCTCCTGGATCTGCCCTAGAGGCCTGTTGCTCACACTCACTACACTCAACTTTCCTTAGCTAGTGTCTCTTTCAAAAGCTAACACTTCATGTGGTATGACTTCAAGATGCCTATGTTAAGAGCTCTAACAACTTGCTATTTAAATGGAGGCCTACTGCATAATATGTTGAAGTCATTGCACTTAATTACTAATTTTTAACATACTTATTAGAAGATTTACCTGGTGTTGCTCAGGTCTTTAAGTCAATTTTTTTTTGGGGGGGGAGGTTTGGGGTGGTGGAGGGGATAAACTGGAAAATGTATGTGCTTCATTTAAATCCTTGCTCTGGGGTGGAGCTGAGGATGAGGAGTTCAGTATGCAGGCTGTCCTGGAGAGAGAGGACTTCCACAGCAGCTTGGGGCCAGGTGAGAAGCTCCTCTCCATGGCTGCTACAGCTCCAGTGAGGAAGGGGCACATTTGGAAAAATCATCTCAACTATATATACAATATGATGGGGACTAATTTGGCTACAACTACTCCAAGAGAAAGATCTTGGAGTCATTGTGGACTCTGAAAACATCCACTCAGTGTGCTGTGGCAGTCAAAAAAGCAAATAGAATGTTAGGAGCCATTAAAGGGACCAAGAATAAGACCAAAAATGTCTTATTGCCTATATATAAAACCATGATACACCCACATCTTGAATACTGTGTACGGATGTGGTCACATCATTTCAAAAGATATATTGGCATTGGAAAAGATTCAGAAAAGGGCAACAAAAATGATTAGGGGTTTGGAATGGGTCCCACATGAAGCGAGGTTAAAAATACTTGGACTTTTCAGTTTAGAAAAGAGGAGACTAAAGGGGGATGTGATAGAGATCTATAAAATGACTGGTATGGGAAAAGTGAATAAGGAAAAGTTATTTACTTATTCCCACAATATAAGAACTAGGGGTCACCAAATGAAATTAATAGGCAGCAGGTTTAAACCAAACAAAAGGAAGTTTGTTTTTTCCACTCAGCGCACAGTCAACCTGTGGAACTCCTTGTCAGAGGATGTGGTGAAGTCTAGAACTTTAACAGGGTTCAAAAAAGAGCTAGATAGATTCATGGAGCTAGGTCCATCAATGGCTGTTAGCCAGGAAAGGTAGGAATAGCCTCTGTTTGTCTGGAGGTTGGTGAGGGGGAGGGCTCACGCGAGGATTACCTGTTGTGATCCCTCCCTTTGGGACATCTTGTATTGGCCACTATTGGCAGACAAGATACTGTACTAGATGGACCTTTGGTCTGACTCAGTATGGCTGTTGTGTTAAGGCAGGTCCAGGTTCATCTTTCCCCTGTGCTCCTGAACCAGGGTGAGGAATGCAGCAAACTGTGCACTTCCCCCGGCTCCCTGATGAAGTGGAACAGCCAACAGCCTCCCACACCAAAGAGCACCTGGGGGGTGGGAAGCTCAAGGTTAGGACAGTCTCAGACAGCTGGGGACATTCCCCCAGTGACCCCTTTTCACCTGCCTGGTTATTCTGTCTCTTTCCTGTTTGGTTTTCCTGTTTGGTTTTCTGAGATATCCATCAGTCACAAAGTACATCTGTAACGAGGGTGAAGGGGATGCAGAGGAAGAACTAAGCTGGGAAACTCAGCAACGTGAACTTTCAGATTTCCCAGGTTTTGTTCATGTTATTGATGGTTCTGGTCTGGGATTGAGCCAGCTGATACTTTTAAAGCAGACAGTCCTGCTCTCCAACTATCCTGGAGAGAGCGGCCAACTGGACCTTTTAGTCTCTGCAGTCATGCCCATGCAGGCCTGGAGAGTGCAGCTCTTAGAACTGTAACATTCTGAAGCTAGCATTGGGGTTTTGTTTCTTTTGCAACATACTCTGTATTTCCCCACTTCCAGGAATTGGGCTGGCCCTGGCTGCTGCAGTGAAAGGCTACCGCTGTATCATTGTGATGCCGGAGAAAATGAGCATGGAGAAGGTCAGAACTACTTGTATTTCAAATAATTAAAAATAAATGTCTGAATATGTTTAGATCCTGATGAGAGGAGGATGCCATCTTTTTGGCTGTGAAATTGAATACCAGGGCATTGCAAGCCAGTTTACCATGTGTTGGATATTTTTAAATTGGTCTGAGTATGTGTAAACTTCTTGAGGTGGGAAAAGGGCAGAGGGTGGCTGGCTGTAGAGTGGTAAGCCCAGACAGACGGTGCTACATTGCAGCGTATTGCTTCAGGTTACACAGTGGGAAGTCTTTGCAAATGGCTAAGAACAACACTGGTCTTTCTTCAGCTTACGGAAATTCAGCTTGGTTTTAAATGTTATCTGAAAAAACAGCTGCTCCAGCAGTAGAGTGCCCTCTGGTATTCTGCTGACTCATAGGCAAAGTTCTGACGTGACAGGAAAAGTACTATGTGCTGAATTGCCCGCATCACATCCAGCAGCTCCTGGATCTGCCCTAGAGGCCTGTTGCTCACACTCACTACACTCAACTTTCCTTAGCTAGTGTCTCTTTCAAAAGCTAACACTTCATGTGGTATGACTTCAAGATGCCTATGTTAAGAGCTCTAACAACTTGCTATTTAAATGGAGGCCTACTGCATAATATGTTGAAGTCATTGCACTTAATTACTAATTTTTAACATACTTATTAGAAGATTTACCTGGTGTTGCTCAGGTCTTTAAGTCAATTTTTTTTTGGGGGGGGAGGTTTGGGGTGGTGGAGGGGATAAACTGGAAAATGTATGTGCTTCATTTAAATCCTTGCTCTGGGGTGGAGCTGAGGATGAGGAGTTCAGTATGCAGGCTGTCCTGGAGAGAGAGGACTTCCACAGCAGCTTGGGGCCAGGTGAGAAGCTCCTCTCCATGGCTGCTACAGCTCCAGTGAGGAAGGGGCACATTTGGAAAAATCATCTCAACTATATATACAATATGATGGGGACTAATTTGGCTACAACTACTCCAAGAGAAAGATCTTGGAGTCATTGTGGACTCTGAAAACATCCACTCAGTGTGCTGTGGCAGTCAAAAAAGCAAATAGAATGTTAGGAGCCATTAAAGGGACCAAGAATAAGACCAAAAATGTCTTATTGCCTATATATAAAACCATGATACACCCACATCTTGAATACTGTGTACGGATGTGGTCACATCATTTCAAAAGATATATTGGCATTGGAAAAGATTCAGAAAAGGGCAACAAAAATGATTAGGGGTTTGGAATGGGTCCCACATGAAGCGAGGTTAAAAATACTTGGACTTTTCAGTTTAGAAAAGAGGAGACTAAAGGGGGATGTGATAGAGATCTATAAAATGACTGGTATGGGAAAAGTGAATAAGGAAAAGTTATTTACTTATTCCCACAATATAAGAACTAGGGGTCACCAAATGAAATTAATAGGCAGCAGGTTTAAACCAAACAAAAGGAAGTTTGTTTTTTCCACTCAGCGCACAGTCAACCTGTGGAACTCCTTGTCAGAGGATGTGGTGAAGTCTAGAACTTTAACAGGGTTCAAAAAAGAGCTAGATAGATTCATGGAGCTAGGTCCATCAATGGCTGTTAGCCAGGAAAGGTAGGAATAGCCTCTGTTTGTCTGGAGGTTGGTGAGGGGGAGGGCTCGCGCGAGGATTACCTGTTGTGATCCCTCCCTTTGGGACATCTTGTATTGGCCACTATTGGCAGACAAGATACTGTACTAGATGGACCTTTGGTCTGACTCAGTATGGCTGTTGTGTTAAGGCAGGTCCAGGTTCATCTTTCCCCTGTGCTCCTGAACCAGGGTGAGGAATGCAGCAAACTGTGCACTTCCCCCGGCTCCCTGATGAAGTGGAACAGCCAACAGCCTCCCACACCAAAGAGCACCTGGGGGGTGGGAAGCTCAAGGTTAGGACAGTCTCGGACAGCTGGGGACATGCCCCCGTGAGCCGTTTTCACCTGCCTGGTTATTCTGTCTCTTTCCTGTTTGGTTTTCCTGTTTGGTTTTCTGAGATAAAATCCCATTCCAGGCACATCCCATTTTCCTGGCACAAACAAACCTTTACCTTGCTTTAAATTAGGATACGAGGACGCTGTAGACCAAATTTGATGGCCCTAGTTCTTAATTGTTTAGGAAGAGTTCTTGGACAGACAGACAAACTCTCTCAAATATATAATAGACGGTATATGTTGTACCTCCCTTAACCTAGGACTCTCTGGTCCGGCAACATCCGTGGTCCAGCAGGATCATGGACATTCCTGGACCACAGAGCCCAGGTTTAGGGAGGTCAGGTCGAGGGGCAAGAACATCAGAGGGTCCAGCAACTCAGCCAGGAGCCCCATGTTAGCAGAGGAACGGACAGTGCAGCAGGTAGTTCTGGCCCCTGCATCTGGGCGGTAGCAGGGCACCAGTCCTGGCCACGGAGCTCAGGGGATGGCAGTCAGCCAGAGAGCTCAGGCCTGAGCAGTCGTGGCCAGGCAGACATAGTGGGGCAGGGCTGGAGACCTATCCACGGACAGCAGGGCAGAAGGGGTCATGTTGGGAGGACCTTCCCTGGTCTGGCAAATCCCCTCATTTGGGACCGGTCAGGTTCCAAGTAAGATCCAACCTGTACTGTCTGTGGGCTAGTAAAGAGTGAGTCGTACTGTGCAAAGCACTGTACAAACTATAAGAAATAAAACAGTGGTTCTAGGCTATGGCACTGGAGCCTTGTGTACCTATATTATTCTGTAAGGGAGAATTTAACTCTTCCATCAGCTAAACTGGTCAGATTTTTAGGGAAGAAAAATCTTCAGCTAGGGAAAATGCAGATTGTGCTAGTAACAAATGTATGTAGCCAAATAACAATGATCATAAATTTCAGGCCACAAAATATTTACAAAACCAAGACAGAGAAGACCATGTTTAACTGGCACTGGAGCCTTGTGTACCTATATTATTCTGTAAGGGAGAATTTAACTCTTCCATCAGCTAAACTGATCAGATTTGTAGGGGAAAAAAAAATCTTCAGCTAGGGAAAATGCAGTTTGTGCTAGTAACAAATATATGTAGCCAAATAACAATGATCATAAATTTCAGGCCACAAAATATTTACAAAACCAAGACAGAGAAGACCATGTTTAACTTGCACAGGGTATCTGTTTTGAGATACTTAATCTCTGGGGATTGAATTCCCAGAAGCTTTAAGCAATGGGTATGGAAGAGTTGCACCCACTTGCTAACGTAAAGTTCCTACAGGTGAATCTCTCTAATCCAGCTTGTTCAGAAACATCTGTTATCCAGAATGATTGTAGTTAGCTGGATGTCCACTTTTCATGGGTGTGCCCAAGTTTCCTGGAGTCCCATAAAGTTTTTTTTTTACTGCCACCAGTCCTAGCTCTGTGTTCTGTGCTGTCATTTAGCTCTTATTTACCCCTAAATGTCCTCTAACAGCACATTAAGTAGAGGAAGTGTTGGTGATGCCACTAGACAATACTGACCACCCTTGGTCCAGAAAATTCTCTCGTTCGAAACCAGTCAGGTCATGAGGGTCCGGGACTAGAGAGATTCAACCTGTATTTGGTGCTTTTTTGTTTGTTTGTTTTTAATCCTCTGGCATGCTAGTAGAATCTCTGTGCCTGTGGAGATTTTTGACTGATTGTTTGATTCAGGTGGATGTTCTGAGAGCCCTTGGTGCTGAGATTGTGAGGACCCCAACTACTGCTAGGTTTGACTCACCTGAATCTCACGTGGGCGTGGCATGGAGACTGAAAAATGAAATCCCCAATTCCCATATACTAGACCAGGTAAGGTTCTGAGCAACTGAGATGCGTATGTGGGATAGAGAAAAATTTGTAATATCCTTCTTGTTCTTGTTAGGGAGTTAACCAGTTACCCGATACCTGGGAGCAGCCTGCTGCAGGCAAAGAGCTACTCCAGCCCTGCTTGGTCTCTGCCCAGGGCCAGGGACTGGCAGCCCCACCGGGAGCTGACAGTATCTTTAACTGGTGAAAAGTTGTGTTTAATTCTGTGCTTAATTCTCTGTTCACCAGTTAAATGGGATTTTACATCCCTAGTTCCTGCTCTCCACAGAAAGTATGTAACAGTCCTGGATGGGGGTAGGCGTAGTTTGAATCTGGGTTTGCTGGATCTAAAAGTGTGTGTTACTGTTGCCTTACAAGATTCCTTAGCTCAGCAAAAGTATCAAATCACAAATACCAAATGAAGCTTAGCCACTGGAGTAGAGCAAAAAAGCCCAGGGAGAACTGGCTTTTCAAATTGAGGCAATTAAAATTGTTAATTTTAATCATGATTTAAATGAGCAAGCAGGAAATATTGATTTAACTCACCAGTTTAAAGTAAAACTACAAAACAAGATTCAGTTATTTCCCTAAAAAAATATGATTTTCACTTGCTGGTAGCCATTAAAATACATTGGTTTATAGTTTTAAATACAGCCTTTACGCTAAACATTGGCCTGTTTTTTGCTATAAGATAATATACTATAATTGCTTAAATAATTCATTCAGATAATTTAATTTTTACATTTTGTTTGTTATAGGATGATGAATTTCTTATTTACTAGATTAACTTTTTTGTCTGTGATTTGAGTCCAGCTCTGTTTGGATGGAAAGAAGAATTGAATTAAAAATGTGCAAAAATACATTTAATAGTTTTATCTAACTAATAAAAATCTTGGATGTGCTAGATATATAAAAATTTGCAAAAACCTGGCTTGCATTTGCAACTGACTGATTTATTAAACAAGGGAAGTATTTGTAGTTAGTGAATTGAACTGTTTCTGTTCACCATATCCTTTAAGATTTTAGAAATAGGACAGTTCATCATCTCGCACCTGCATTTTATTTACTGTTTAGAAGAGTGGGAGAACTTTTCTGTGTTTTCAGCTCTGAATCAGAAGAGGCTACATCTGTCAAATTATTTCAAACTCTAGTTCTTGGTGCTTGCCAAATGACTTCCACTAGTTCCACTTTCTTTAAAATTTCAGCAGCAAACTTATACTGCTTAATGTTGTATTTCTAATTTAAGTGGTAATGATGGATTATAGTCTATTTAGGCCTTTAGAGTAGGTTGTTTATAACTTTATTTTTAAAGATTTAATTTAAATCTAGTTTTAAAATATATATATTTTATTCACCCTGAGAGAGAGATCCTATGTTAGCATAGTTTACAGAAGGACGAAGTTAATATTCTCTTCTAGACTGGCAATTCTGCATATTGGAGTTATAGAAAGCTCAGCGTCCCACAATCTGCTTGTGGGACAGAAAATAGTCCCACAAGCAGATTGCCCTTAGTTTTAAGGGATCTTGGCATCTTAGAAATACCTTGGCACAAAAATACCAGTTGTTTAAGTTGGGGCAGCTGCAGGAGTCGGTTCCAGGCCATGGTAGACAGTATTGGTAAATGGCTAATCAGTTTAGAAACTGCTGAAAGCCTATAGTGCCTTTATGAGATGCTGGTAATTTTTCTACTTGCTCCTAAGGGTGTGATATTTTTTTTATGGGCTGTTTCATGGTTCCATATGTTTTTTCCATTGTATTTCAATGTAGTACCGCAACGCCAGTAACCCTTTGGCACATTATGACACTACAGCAGAGGAGATCCTGCAGCAATGTGAAGGTATTCTAATTCTTCTACTAGCACTCTTAATTAATCTCTGGAGAGGTTTGGTTTTAATCACACACACCCTGTGAATAAGGCCTAGACTGCCAGGGGCATAGAATTACATAGGGTCTGAGATCAGGATTTGTAAAGTTTGCATAATTCAAATGATACACTTTTAACTAGACGCATGGGATTTTTTAAAAAATAACCTCTTGCTTTACTTTTCTGTGACTGGCCACACAAAATGATTACTCGTAGATGATAATATTTGCATAGCTCAGGGGAGTTGAAGATCTAGGGAGTTTCAAAATGATCATGAACAGGAAGTGGTTTTTAAAAAGTCTTAGTTCTTAGTGTAAACTGGGGGGCGGGAGGGTGTTTAATATGTCTATCTAATGCAGCATTTTAATTCCACCCCACCAAATGTTGTATACGGTCTCCACCCCACCAAATGTTGTATACCGTCCACTTGCCCCATCACACGACTTTCCTCACTTGATGGTGTCCTCAGGAATATCTGTAGTTTTGGATCCAACTTATTAGTAAAGCTGGGATTATCACACAAACACCACTGTCATGGAACCATTAATTTTGCCTTCTATGCGGACCCTGTTGCTGTACATGAATAGTATGGTAGTTTCCTTTGATTTAGTCCCATTTCAAAGAGGGCTATCAAAATAAACTATTACAAAGTGTTATTGTGCACAGCAGTACTTGTCCACAAGATTACCATGATCCTAGCGTGAAATATCTATTTTTTTCATTGCAACACCACTGGAAATTAGGAATGACTTTACCATGGCACAGTTTTATCCATACTTACCAGTAAGTTGTATCTGTTGCCAGCAGAGGGAGCTTGCACATCAGGTTTCTCAGTCTGTCCCTGAAAACCTCATGTTTAGCTTCAGTGGGATGTTTGGATTTAAAGTAATAAAGCCCTTGATTAGATTTTGATAGCTATGACCACCTGCATGTACAGTGCAGCTGTATTCTGAAAAGTAACTGTAAAAATAGCACCATGAGCTTTTGTTTGTCTATACATGCTTTCCATGTCAGATTTCCTCAGTTTACATGTGTAAAGGTGGTGTTACTGACATAGCAGTGAAGACTATTGAAGACACTTTCATCTCAGAGCTCATCTTCACGCTCAGGCTACGTCTAGACTGCAGGGTTTTTGGGGGGAGGGTTGAAAAAAGATATGCAAATCATGAACCACTATTTGCGTATCTTTCCACTTTGGCCCATCTACACGGGGCCAAATTTTGGAAAAACCTCTTCTTTCAGAACATTCCTTATTCCTCTGACTGAGAGGAATATAGGGATGCCGAAAGAACGCACTCACTTTTTCGAAAACTGTTCCAAAACAGTGGACGTGGTCCCTGGATGTGGCAAAGTTTTTTCCGAGATATTTCTGGTATCCCAGAAAAACTCTGCAGTCTAGACATAACCTCAGTCCAGCTTGTAAAGTCTATGGGCCTTATTCTGATCTCACAGCTAGGGTTGTAAGTCTGGCATTATTGTCTCAGTCGATGGAACTAGACCCATGAAGGGTCGGAATCAGACTCTGTTTCTTGGGATGGTCTTGATTGGCAAGCATAACTTCTTGTGTACATGCCTGGGAGTTAGACTTGCTCTTTAAATAATTTACCAGAAATAAAAGACACATCAGATAAAATAGTTGTTAACCAAGTCCTGATTGTTTTGTTAATGCACACAACGTGCTAAATAAGAACAGATAAATATCCACTACCAAACAACCTAAAACAGATCCACCAATGGCAAAAATAATATATCCCTTGACCCATCCCCAAAATCTCAAATACGGGTGCTGCAGCACATCCAAAAGGCTGAATAATGCTGGACTAAATGGGAAGGTGGGGGAACAAAGTCTGAAGGTACGTCTCTGAGCTCACCTACTGAGAGGTAAAGGGTTACTTTACATTGTCACCTTTCTGATGTTAACTGCGTTCTCAGAGAGAGTAACGCATCTTGTCCATTCCTGGTCTGCCGTCGGGTTTTTATCTCTAACGCTAATGGATGCTTTCATGGTGGTATGTGATTTCTTGCACGTAAAACAGGAAAAATAGACATGCTGGTGTCCGGAGCTGGCACTGGAGGCACCATCACTGGCATTGCCAGAAAGCTGAAAGAGAAATGCCCAGACTGCAAAGTAAGTGGCAAACTAATATATCTTGGGAGCTGTTCCTAGCTATAAGTGTTCCTCAGGAGAATAATCCCATTTTTCTCATCTCTTCACTTCAGCCCTTACCTGTGACAAGTCTGCTTATTTTGAGCTGTTCACAAAAAAGCGCATGAAGCTACCTCATTTATTTTTTTCCCCACTTGTGACCCTAGTCACGAATTCCATATGGCACATATTGGCAAATGTTGGTCTCTCTACAGTGGACACTCATGTTTAGCGAAAAGATGATCGCACTTTCTCTTTAGTAACTTCACAAGGGGTAATTATCTGGGATCATTGAATTTCTGGCCAAATTAAACTTGTCCCCATGACAGTGTTCCCTCTAAGTTCTGTGACCGCACAGCTTCACGGGTGATTAATCAGTCCCATCCAGTCAGAGGCTCAGGGCTCCATGCGTGGAGCTGACTGACTGGGCAGAGGAGATTAAGCACCTGTGAAGCTGTGCTGCCATACAGTTCAGAGGGACACTGCCCCATGATATGGTCTGGGTGTCCCTCAACAAGCACATAATGTTCCTGTCTCCTGCTACCTTATGACTCTTGGTGGCTACTTTGCATTTCACCAGCTTTTAACAGAAGTACCATGTTACTCTGAAAAGACTTTCTGCTTGCTCCTGATATAAAATGGGCAAGAGATATAACTTCTGAGTGGGATTGTAGCAAACACCATCCTTGAGCCAAACAAAATCTGCATAGAATGAGATATGCCTTCCCCTACAAAGTCCCACAGCCTGACAAAGCAGGAGGAATTGCTTGGGGTAGGAGTAGCAAGGGAACTTGCCAAGGAACAGATTAATTACAGGCTCAGTGCAGTGATCGAGGTCAGTATCTGCGTGGCCAGAATGACAGTTTGGTGAGACAACTGTTCTAACGTGACACTTTGATTTAATGGCCATGTTGACACAACAGAATAACTGTAGCCAAATCTGAAATCTGCTGCTTCAGATTATTGGTGTCGATCCTCAGGGCTCCATTCTTGCTGAGCCCGAAGAACTGAATAAAACTGACAAGACGACATATGAGGTGGAGGGGATTGGATATGATTTTGTCCCTACAGTGCTGGACAGATCGGTAAGTCAAGCTCCCCACTTAACCATTCCTTGCCTTCTGCTCTGGGGTGAGGTGGGGAAATATTATGGCAGCTGCTGTAAATGAGGCAAATAGTGTGTACAAGATTATAGAGGTTAGGAGGTGCAACACAGTCCACTTCCCTTTGTATCCCAGCAGATAAAAAAGCCCCAGTTGAACTTCTGTGTTGGACACAGTATTATGAAAGAGCAAGAGAAATGAGTGACACACTGTGCAGATAGCTTTTCTCCTGAACTATCCTTTTAAATAAAACCAAAATAACCCCAACTCACAATTTGACCCTGGTCCAAGTAAGACTCGCTTTCCTGGCACCTCAGCTGGGAAGGGAGGAGAATGACCATTTCCCCTTGTAGCTTTTCCCACAGACACCTTATTTAAAAGGCAAAGTACTTTTTACTAGTATAGAGAACACCACTAATACCGAAAAAGTGTTAATTAGGCAATAAAAAGCAGTGGTGGAATATGAACCCAATTGGAAGTGTATAATTTGAAGCATCTTTACAGTATATCCTGAAAGGGGCATAGATCAGCTGCATCTTGTCTCCTTTCCCCTGCACTCTTCTTAGGTGGTGGACAAGTGGTACAAGAGCAACGATGAGGAATCTTTTGGTCTGGCGCGCATGTTAATCCGAGAGGAGGGGTTACTCTGCGGTAAGAGCTGATACTAATCCTCCCAAGTGTCTTATGAATTAGATTGCGGCTTTGTGTGAATCGCTTAGCCTGTCAAAGGGAAACTTTGACAGTGTTGGCATTCGAGCTCTGGGGTTCTTTTCTCCAGCCCTGAGGTGATGCTCACCTACCTTTCTCTGACCTTGTCCTCTTCTTTCACAAATGGCTTCCAAGTGTAGCTGTCTTAACTGTGTCATCTGGGTGTTGACAGGTGGCAGCTCCGGCAGTGCAATGTCCATTGCTGTGAAGGCTGCCAAGGATCTGACGGAGGGTCAGCGCTGTGTTGTCATCTTGCCCGACTCTGTCAGGAACTACATGTAAGGAACTGCCCCCATTCTCTTTCTGCTTAGCACCTGCTACCTTTGCAGGGGTGGGGCATCCATAACTTTCTCCACAGTGTCTAGTAACTTTTGGGTACCCAACTTGATGCTTTGGACAGGGACCTGGTTTACAGACGGTCAAAACTCAGCTTTCTGAAAATAAGGCCACTTTAATTTATCTGAGGGCCATCCAGAAATCACTGGTCATTTTGGAAGAGTTCTAGTCCTGAGTTTCTTTAAGCATTTTTATTGGGTTCTCTGCTGGGACTTTTCAAGGAAAGAAATATTAAGGTTGTCCTCTCCTCTCTCTGCCTTGTGCTGTCTATTGGGAAAGAACACTCTCTTGTAGTAAAAGCTCATGCTGTTGGCAGGGGTGGGGAGTGATACACTTGCTCTAAGTCCTGTGGCTAATTTTCCCTGACACCACACTTAGGGTATGTCTACACTAGCCCCCTAGATCGATCTAGGGAGGCTGATGAGGACGAACGAAATTGTAAATGAAGTGCGGGATTTAAATATCCCGCGCTTGATTTGCATGTTCCTGGCCGGTCGCCATTTTTCGAAATTGACTAGCCCGAAGTAACTCTCCGTGTCTACACGCGGCAGTGAAATGGGATTCCAAAATAAAGCCCTCCAAAATAAAGCCCTAACTCGAATTAGCTGGTAAACCTCATTGCAGGAGGAATACCAGCTAATTCAAGTTAGGCCTTTATTTAATCCCGCACTTCATTTGCAATTTCGGTCACCCTCATTAGCCTTCCTAGATCGATCTAGGGGGATAGTGTAGACATACCCTTAAAGAACAGCTTTATATATTCTCATCCGTGGTGCTCTGCAACACAGGGCAGTTTCCCTTTTTAAGCATGAAACCACAAAACTGTACATGTATTTAATTTAATACCTTCCAGCACTTCTCCTCCCTTGCAAGCTGCCTTGTGATATTGTTGCACGATTTCCTTTTTTCCTTTCAGAAATATTCTGCCTACAGAAATAACCCTTTCCCACAAGGACTGGCTGACTGAGGGCTATTGTATGCTTGCAATTACACCATGATCTATTCTGGGGATACAATAGGGGGATGGAAATATGTGCCGCTATGTGTATTGCCTGTGCAAGTATAACTTTGCTTTCTTGATGGCTTCCAGGTCCAAGTTTTTGAATGACAAATGGATGACCCAGAAAGGGTTCATAAAAGCAGAAGATGACATCATTAACAAACCTTGGTAAAGTAGTCACGTATTCATTTGAACTCTGAGGCTACATCTAGACTGCACTAGTAAATCGGAAAGATACGCAATTTGCATACTGCAAATTGTGTATCTTTTTCCAATTTACTTTAAAAAGAGGCTTTTCTGAAATTTGGCACGTCTACACAGCGCCAAATTTTGGGGAAAAATGCTCTTTCAATACATCCCTTATTCCTCATAGAATGAGGTTTTCAGGGATGGCAAAAGAAAGTGGACTCACTCGAAAAGCGGACACATTCCTTGGACACGGTGTTGCTTTTTCGGGATACCAGAGGTATCCCGAAAAAACAATGCAGTCTAGACATAGCCTGAAAGTCTGTTACAGTGTGATGGATTTCTTTACATTTCACTATACATAGACAAGATTTCCTTGTTTGTGTGAATTGATCTTCTGTACAGCTGGGGGTACAGAGAAGCCTGCGTAAATCAACAGAAATCTTTAAGTATTTGCTTTTGAGAAAAATTTGATACTTGGATTCGGTGACAACTGCAGTTCTTCAAAGAATGACCACTTTTTAATCTCCACCAGACCAGTTATTAGTGATATTTTAATGCCTCCTTGATTCGTATGTTGCCATCTATTCTTTATTAGGCAGATTGAGACACAGAGATGCTTTTGAAGGCAAGGGACTGTCTTTTGTTTGTGCAGCATCTAGCACAGTGGAGCACTGGGCCGTGATTAGCACCCCTAGACACTGCAGTAATGGAAGTAATAACCTTTGTCTAGTACTGTGAAATGGACGGGTGTCACCTCTGAAAAGACATTGCATTTACTGCCCCCAGGTCCCTGCTAGTCATCTTGGTTTTACAGTCCCTTTTTCCTAACTTTAAACAAATCCCTCCCTGTCTCTCCTGTTGCTGCTGGAAGACCCACATGCAACACAAGGGCTACGTCTACACTAGCATGAATTTCCGAAAATGCTTTTAACGGAAAACTTTTCCATTAAAAGCATTTTCGGAAAAGCGCGTCTAGATTGGCAGGATGGTTTTCCGCAAAAGCACTTTTTGCAGAAAAGCGTCCGTGGCCAATCTAGACGCACTTTTCCGCCAAAAAAAAAAAAAAAAAAAAAAGCCCCGATCGCCATTTTCGCGATCTGGGCTTTTTTGCGGAAAACAAATCTGAGCTGTCTACACTGGCCCCTTTGGGCAAAAGTCTTTCGGAAAAAGACTTTTGCCTGAACGGGAGCAGCATAGTTTTTCCGGAAAAGCACTGATGATTTTACATGAGATCGTCAGTGCTTTTCCGGAAATTCAAGTGGCCAGTGTAGACAGCTGGCAAGCTTTTCCAGAAAAGCAGATGATTTTCCGGAAAAACTTGCCAGTCTAGACACAGCCATGGGGAAAAGCTTACTGTCCCACTGGTTAAGGACATAGAATTAGTAGATTGAAAAAACACCTTGTGATGTGTATTTGTATTATGGTAGTGCCAGAGGCCTTAGGTAGGATTGGGACTCTATTGTACAAACAGAATAAAGGACATTCCTTGCTCCAGGGAGCTTAGAGTTTAGGGTCTTTAGCAATCTGGGGCAGGTCTCATTCCCATTTTATATGTACATTGGCTGGTACTCAAGTTTGGCCGGGGCCTCGAGACATTACTGTATTACAAATAACCGATGCTTAGTTTCAAGCCAAGTTTCAAGCTTTGCTGTACCAAACAATTTAACAAAATGGCGGCTGAGGGTAATGCTGATAGGATCCCATGGTGCCACAAACTATCTGAGTCTCTTCTTAAGCGGTTTCCAGTACTTGAAAATGTTCTTTTCCTTTTTGTAAATCCAAGATCTAAATAAGCAAACTGGAGGTATCCATAATCTCTGCTGGCCATCTGACCAGCCAGGATAAGAATAAAATCAGATGGAAAAGGAACGCAGTTGTAATGATTGCCCTTCCTGAGTCATGAAGATCCAAATGATCTTTTTTTCCTGATAGTGAGGGGAGATCCTGTAAGGGATTTTAGGGCTGGCATTTCAAGAGGATCCGATACGTTGCTGTACAAACCTGTATGTTTTGTCCACAGGTGGTGGCACCTCAAAGTTCAGGAATTAAGTCTCTCTGCTCCCCTGACCGTCCTTCCAGGTGTCACCTGTGAAAAGACCATTGAAATCCTCCGCGAGAAGGGATTTGACCAGGCACCAGTTGTTGATGAATCTGGGTATGTTCAGATAGCAATATCTTCCTGACCCTCCAAAACAAACCTGTAATTCCAGTTTCTGTTTCTCATTTACACCGTACATGAGAGATGTGCCTTGTGTCACTTAATTCTCCTGCAGGGTCAGCAAGGGTTCAGAAATGTCACCTTACATACCACACTGCTTTCAGATTTAAAATGCTGTCTGGTCAGGACTACTCTGTGCTTGATCTAAAAGGTTTCCAACTATCACGCCCACAGTGTTGGGGTTTCTGCACGGATGTTTCATAGCGTTTTGCTGAAGTGAAAACTGGAAAGTGGTTGCCCACCTGGGCTGAAAGAATCGTTTAAAATCTCAAATGTTGGGGCCATGCCCAATATCATCTTTCCCTCCACCTCTGTCAGCGAGCCTGCTGAATGGTAGAAATGATCTGTACTGGGCTAGTGGGGGCCTTTGCCTTGTATTGAGGCCAGCAGAAACTATTTAGATTTGCAAGTTCATTTAAACTACACACAGTCATGGTCAGACAACTGAGTGATTGGATAGACAGTAGAGCAGAGGTGGGGAACCTAAGGCCCGGGGGCCAGATGCAGGTCCTACCTTGCCTGGATCCAGCCTCTGAGGCTTGGGGCTCCCCCCAGCATTGGGGAGCCCATGGTGGTGAGAACTAGATTTTTTTTTTTTTTTTTGTGTGTGCAGCCCCTGACTGATTTTTTTTTTTTCCCATATGGATCATTGGCCCCTAACCTAAAAAGGGTACCCTACTCTGGCAGTAGAGGAAACCACTAGTTCACCAGAACCGTCCCTTACTAGGTAGGAGCTCTGAGTCATTGCCATAGTGTCAATCAGCTAGGTCACTTGAAATCCCTCTGCGTTTAGCATGTGCCAGCCACACGCAACAGTCCAGTGGGAATGACCCAGAACAGTTAGCCCCACTTTCATTTTGGCTCTGAACATTGAGCAGAGCCAGAGAAGAGGGAGGTCCGTAAAATGGCTAACTACCGCAAAACGAAGGAAAATGCCCATTTTAAATTGAATCCAGCCGGACACTTGCACCTGTGGAAGCAGGACTAAGGGAAAGGGGATTTGGGTGACCATTTCAGGGTTTGTCAGTAGCAGAGCAAGAGTCTGGGTCACTCTGACTCCTTACGCGAGAGCCAGAAGAGACGCTGTGTTCGCCTTTCTGTCTCTCCCATATTGATAAGAGTGGAATGCTTACCTCAGTGAGAGCCTTGGGATAAGACAGTGTCCGATGGGAACTGAGTGGGCAGGGAAGTAATTGTTTAATGTTATGTGTAATAGAAAAGTATATATATTGGCTTCTAATTGTTTTGTATTTGAAGATCCACTCATGGACTTCTTCCCGTGCAATATTGCTCGAATAAACTGCCTCTGGCTACTTGTTGCTTGAACACAACGCAGAGTGAAGGCTTGTTTTCTTCCACACACCCAAACTCAAGACTTTCCCGGAAAGCTGGCACGTCTGGTCACGCAAGTGTTGTCTCCTTGCAGCAAGTTTAATTAGCAGAGGTCACTTTGAGTGGCTGTCTACACAGCAGTGAGCCTCCCAAGCCAGGCTGACAGACTTGAGCTTGTGCTAACCTGCTAAAAATAGCTGGGTAGACACTGGAGTTTAGACTCTAAAGCCCAGCCCCTTCCCTAAACTTCATAGCCCAAGCAGCAGCTTCTGCATGGCTACTTTTACTGCAGAAGTGCAAGCCTGAGTCTGTCAGCCTCGTGTAGATGCACCCTTGGTGGCTCTGTCAGCAGTGAGGTGCAGAGATGAGGGAGAGCTGCACTTTCCATCTCTCACTCGCACACTCACCCTCAGACCAGCTTTTGATCAAAAACTTGCTACCTGGGAAAGATTTAAGAACAATTGGCAGAGAGTCACAGTCAATGCACAGGCTTTCTGCAAGGCAGAGCAGAGCCCATTCTGTGGTTGTGAGTGACCTACCTGAGAGGCAGTGAACCAGATTCTCAGAAGTGCTGAGCACACATGGGGCCCACTGGTTTCTTTTTGAGTTGTACACTCCCAACACTTTTGCAAACCAGATTCAACAGGTCTCCAGCTGGACTCTACAAATACGTCTGCACTTCGGTATAAGGCCCGTGCTGCCAAGTGTCACAGCCTAGGTCAACTGACCTGGGCTGCTGAACTAAAACTAGCAGTGTAGACACTCTTGTGCAGGCTAGAGACTGGGCTCTGAAACCAGTCTATGGCTTCCGATCCCAGGCTGTGGCCCCAAAAGGAACATCTGCACTGCTACTCCTAGCCCCACAAGCCTGAGTCCACTGAGCCAGGCTGCGCGTCTAAGTGCTGTGGGTTTTTCTTTGTCTGTAGACGTACCCTCAGAATCTGAGAGCACCTCTGAAAATGGTGGTTTACCCCATTAAGCCAGTTAAACTGCCTTTTGGGCATCCCGGTGAGGAGAGCCTGCCGAGAGTGCTGTTCACTTGTCTCTAGGAAACCCTGAGTGTCTGACTGTTTTTTCCTCTTCTCAGTGTGATTTTGGGAATGATTACCCTTGGGAACATGCTTTCTTCGTTACTTGCTGGGAAAGTTCAGCCATCGGATCATGTCAGCAAAGTGATCTACAAGCAATTCAGGCAGGTAAATCTACCCTCTGTCTGCTTTTTGAGTGTTATTGTAGGTGTCCCAGCATTAAAGTGGCATCGGCTAGAGTCAGATTTGAAGTGAGGTCATCCAGAATCTTCTTTCTGAAAATGTGCCACCAGGCAGACCTGGGGTTGGATCTCTCTTCTTCTGACTCTGGCCTCAGCCCAGGGTCCTTGGAAGGCTCCTAGACATGCGGTGGTTTATGATGCTGCATCAGATCGTTGACCTGATAGGGTCAGACATGGATTTTTTTCTTGTCTTTGGGGTTTCTTTTCATGTTTCTTTCCTCCCTCTCCCTCCACCAACCTGAATGTAAAACTGAGCCTCCATGGGAAGAAATAATTGAACTTCAGACTATTCTTTAGTGTAAACTTCAAGGGCAGCTGAAACCAGCAAGTGTTCACTTTGCAACAAATACTGTATCACAGGTTGGTGACTGATTAGTTCTGCTTGCCATTAAAGGGCATGAAGCATTATGCCAGTCAATTCTACCTAGTAGTCTTGATGTGCCATATTTATCATATAGTAAAGGAGGTAATGATACTGACCTCCTGTGTAAAGCACTTGGAAATCTACTGATGCAAAGCACTATGAGAGCTAAGTGATGTTTCCCAGTTAATGATTCATATGGCAGTCTTAAATAGCAGGCTATTAATTTTTAGAGAAAGGCCCTCCTTCATATGGCAGGATAGTGACAGCTTTCTTCAGCCTTTAGATTCAATATTACATTTAGTAGTAAATAATTAAATCCTAAATAGATCTTAATATTTAAAATTTTGGGGAGGGAGCTATATTTAACTATATCTAATTATGTTCTGCATAATCTACGAGCTGTTTGATAACTTAGGAAAAGGAGGCACACAAGTGCTTTGTAAACAAAATTAAACAAGAATATTTTTTTCTTCCTAGACATCAAATCAAACATCAGGTGAAACTCTGGTGTGTAACAAAGCTATTTAGTTTGTGGTGTTTTCTTGCTTTGATTGTCCATATGTTGCTTTGTGCCTGTATTGTGTATTAGCCAGTTCTATGTGCTGCTTCTCCCCTTTTTGTTCTGAAATACTATGATTGAATATTCCTCTTTTCCCCAGTTCTTTCCCCTGGAATTTTCAACTGCTAATGTCCTGGCAAAAGTACAATTATCTGTTTTTTTTTTTTTTTTAAAAGTAATCTTGAGTTGTTGCTATTATTTATATAGTGCCTAAGAGCCGTAGTTGTGAGTCAGGACTCCGCTGTGCTAGGTGCTGTACAAACACAATAAAAATGGTCCCTGCCCCAAGGAGATTACACACACACAAACACACGAGAAACAAAAGAATAATAGGTGTTGAGGGTGGGGGATAAACTAATTTAGAATTCTGCCATTAAAATGGAGAAAAAATAGTCCTCATTGTCCCAAAGATGAGGTAAAGTATTGTTTTGAAAGAAAAGGCTTTTGGTAAGGCACACTTCAGATAAAATTGATGTTTGGTGTGGTGAGAAGGCAAAGCAATCCTAGTGGAAGGTTCAACCTGTAAATACTAGAGATGTTAAACCTCAGCAATTTCCTTTTTATATATTTTTTTGAAAACTGGCTTCTATTTGTGCACCCAAGCTTTTGCACCAGCAATTTTGGGTTTGTGTATTCTACGGACCCTGTGTGCTTGCACATATTTGTCTGCTAGACTTATTACCTGATTTGTGTGCTTCATATTCAACATACAAAATCTTTCAACCGGAGAATTTGTATTGGAACAAGCTCTAATTTTGCTGTAAGATAATCTTTTCCATGAAGAAAACGTTCTGATTTGTAAGGAACAATGTATCTGTAATTATTATGGCCCATGCTCTATCTTGGGGAATAATGACTGGTCTGAGACATTAATTGACATTCTTATTCATTGCCTGGTGTGTCTAATGCCAATTGGTCATTAATCTGAGAAATTTCCCACCTTGAGATAGATGTTGTTGCATAAACTGAGAAGGGGAGAAATAGAATTTTTAATTGGAGATATATTTTCTGTTTGTATGGACTCATCATTAGAACTGGTTGGGGGCTGGAATTTCTGTTTGGCAAGGAAGAATTCCACACTTTCTAAATTTGTTTTTACATAAGAATATAAGAATGGCCATACTGGGTAAGACCAAAGGTCCATCCAGCCCAGTACCCTGTCTGCCAACAGAGGCCAATGCCAGGTGCCCCAGAGGGAGTGAACCGAACAGGTAATGATCAGGCCATCGCTCTCCTGCCATCCATCTCCACCCTCTGACAGACAGAGGCTAGGGACACCATTCCTTACCCATACTGGCTAATAGCCCTTAATGGACTTAACCTCCATGAATTTATCTAGTTCTCTTTTAAACCCTGTTATAGTCCTAGCCTTCACAACCTCCTCTGGAAAGGAGTTCCACAGGTTGGCTGTGTGCTGTGTGAAGAAGAACTTTCTCTTATATGTTTTAAACCTGCTGCCAATTAATTTCATTTGGTGGCCCCTAGTTCTTATATTATGGGAACAAGTAAATAACTTTTTCTTATTCACTTTCTCCACACCACTCATAATTTTATATACCTTTATCATATCCCCCTTAGTCTCCTCTTTTCTAAACTGAAAAGTCCTAGTATCTTTAATCTCTCCTCATATGGGACCTGTTCCAAACCCATAATCATTTTAGTTGCCCTTCTCTGAACCTTTTCTAATGCCAGTATATCTTTTTTGAGATGGAGACCGCATCGGTATGCAGTATTCAAAATGTGGGCATACCATGGATTTATATGAGGGCAAATCAAAGTGAAACAAGTCTTTTTAATTCCCTGCAGAACAATAATTTTGAAAAGTTAGTTTTGGACAATCAAAGTTTTTGTTTGGATTTTGAATTTAAGATTTTTATATTTTTTTAATTTTTTATTTTTTATTTTCACTGATATTTAGGAATATGATGCCAAGCAAAACAATCATTTAGAAATAAAGAAACTGAAATGTCTTGCTTAGATTTTTTTCCAAATGAAACTTTATCAAAATTGACACATCCTCTCTGTTCTACCTTCTATTTAGCTGTGGTAATCTCTATGGCTCTGTCTACACTGGCACCCTTTTCCGTAAAAGGGATGCTAATGAGACACTTCGGAATTGCAAATGCTGCGGGGGATTTAAATATTACCCGCGGCATTTGCATGAACATGGCTGCTGCTTTTTTCCGGCTCGGGGTTTTGCCGGAGAAAAGCGCCAGTCTAGACGGGATCTTGCAGAAAATAAGCCCTTTTCCGGAAGATCCTACTTGAAAGTAGGAATAAGGGATCTTCCGGAAAAGGGCTTATTTTCCGCAAGATCCCGTCTAGACTGGTGCTTTTCTCTGGCAAAACCCCGAGCCGGAAAAAAGCGGCAGCCATGTTCATGCAAATATTTAAATCCCCCGCGGCATTTGCAATTCCGAAGTGTCTCATTAGCATCCCTTTTATGGAAAAGGGTGCCAGTATAGACACAGCCTGTATGTTTCCTAGACCTGAAGAAGACCTCTGAGAAGCTCAACAGCTTGTCTCTATCACCAATAGAAATTGATCCAATTCAAATATATTACCTCACCCATCTTGTCAAATTGGCATTTTCTGATGGAGTAAAACAGCCTAACAAAAATTTTTCAATGTGTTCTGCACCTCATTTGTATCTATCCCCCCCTGTGTGTTAGCTAATCAGATGATATGAAACATGTCTCAGATGTCTATATAGCAGTGAACACATCAGCAGTATCTTGCCTTTCTTAACCAGAAGATAGCATTTCTGCCAGTTGGTAAGAAAACAGACTAATTTCACTGGCATCCATATGAGTTTTTCCTCCCTACAGAATTGGGCCTTCTAGGCAAAATGCATGCCATCACATCTACACATTCCAGTCTTAGCAGGTCTTGAAGGTGTATTTTAAATGGGAATGGGAATAAACCAAATTAAATTCTGACCATTTCCCAGGATTTCCATTATTAATAACAAATATTTTTAAATTGACACATGCGTATATTTACAAGTTGCACTGTCTAGTGGTGACTCGTCCTAACTTGCCTTCTCTATAAAATTGTGATACATCTATCTGCAAAACCAAGTACAAGAAAAAGTAGGTGCTTTGTATAGACATAGCTTAAAATACTTGTAGTTCAACATACAGACTTTTCTTAGTTTAACTGCAGTGTTTAAAGTCAATGTGCTGCAGCTAAAATATATGGCATAAAGAAAGGAAAATTCAAACCTGTGAGAAGGGGGAAGATGCACAGTCTGCCTCGAGCATTACTGAGTCATGCCCTTGCTTGCTGCACAGTAACTTTCCAGGTAGATAATCCCTCAGAGTTATATCCTGCTTTTGATCTATATTACAAAAGTCCCACACAGATTTCATAGATACATTTCATGATATTCCCTCTAATTCCCCTGGGCCCTCTTAGTACAGTAATAACAATTGTGATTATTTTTCCTCCAGGTAGAACCCATTTGTTATCTGATACTCCTTTGTTGGCAGACTCTGTCCTGTATGTGCAGAAGAAGGGAATCAAAGATCTGGCAGGCCTTTTCCAGCTCTTAATTCAGTTCCCCTCTACCATGATAGCTTGGGTGGGGATTTGGGGGTTTCTACATTTTTACATTATTAAAAAAAAAAATGGATCCCAAATGTATTTGGGCACCTAACTCCTATTGATTTCAATGCAAGTTTAGGAGCCTAAATATTTTGCAAATCTGGGCTGTAATCAATTTACACACACAAAGTTCAATACATATAACCTTTGTGGAGTCCATCTGTCTTTTGGGCCCCCACCCCCATTTAAAAAAATGGCTCAAGTCTCCTTTAGTTCACCGTATGGAAACCCACGTTCCATTTTCCAGTTCAGGCCATCCTGCTTCCAGGAGAAGATTAACATAAGAACAGCCGTACTGGGTCAGACCAAAGGTCCATCCAGCCCAGTAGCCTGTCTGCCGACAGCGGCCACCACCAGGTGCCCCAGAGAGGGTGGACCGAAGGCAATGATCTAGCGATTTGTCTCCTGCCATCCCTCTCCAGCCTCTGACAAACAGATAATTTCATGGCGGGTAGGGCCATAAAAAGCT